GAAGATTTTGACGTTACGTCATATATGCCCGAGTGCCCTTTTTTTTGTGGCGGCGGCCATATGTCTCTGCCGTGTATCCTCCCCCTACAGTACATACGGTAATTCTTTAAATTTATAGTTTGTATAAGGATTGAATATTACTTTCGGTTCAACTCAATAACGTACATGGTTCTTTAAATGGCATGTTGTAGAGTGCATTCTTTACTTCTTTACTCTCTAAGGTATCATTCTCTGAAATAGATAAAATTAAGGACTAAATTGCTTATGATTTATGATTGAAGCTCATATCCATCAGCTATGTTACATGTATGTTACATAAAAACTACGAAAAAGTAAAGACATTTAGAATAATAGAGTTTTCTTTTTTGCTTCTTTGAAATATAATGAATCCTAATACTACAACACTGAAATATTAAAAAGAATACTTTTAAAACTTATATTAAAACAGTTCAGTTGAACCTAAATATCAATTGAACGAACGTGAAAATGTGCGTTTTACTTAATTAAAATGTAAACAGAAAAAGATCAACAGGCTTCAAAGTCGTTTCATTGGCACAATGTATAAATCAAATATCATAAAGTCGACTATGGTCGACCTTCAAATATTTTTGATTTGACTGTTACGCGCATTATGTGTGATATTTTAACAACACGCAGTTGCAAATGTACGTTTATTTTTAAATTTGCACTTCTCTCACACAGAGGTTAACCAATAACTGTGGGACAATGGTTTAGGCGGAAGTCTATATAAAAAAATACCCCAAAAAACTAGGCTTTGATCAAATGTGTGTTTTAAACATTAAACTATTTACTTAATACTTTAAAGTAAATGTCGCCGTTACTGGTATACAGTTAACAAGATTGGCCCATTTCTACCCGTACATCGCCCACCCTCAGCCAATTAAAACGGAGAATTTAATATGCCTTATATGTATTTAATTTTTTAAAAATACGCAATTTCTAATGTACTTTTTTTTAATTTGCAATGCTCTCATACAAAATGCCAACCAATTATTGTGCCAAAATGAATGAAGCGGAAGTCGTAAAAAAAACCCCAAAACTAGACTTTAAGCAAATATGTGTTTAAGCATTAAATTATTTACACATCACTTTAGAAATATTAACTGTCCCATACTTTATATTGAGCTTCTGATCAATAGAAATTGAAAATTATAGTTAGATCTTAATTTTGTCACGAAGACACATAGTGTTGTTATAAACAAATATCTATATACTTACACAATCATTTAAAAATCATTATATTTATTTAAGTGGCTTGAAAAGCAAATAAAACAGAATAAAATGAAATAAGAATAATTTGCGAGCATATTTTTTGTTTTCAAAGGATTATACATATATATGCGCAGTTAAATGTGAACTAAAACGTTTGATTATTTTCGAATCAGTTTAAGTGTTTCTTCATGCGACCATTCCGATAGATCAATATATCTTTCTACCGTGCGACTATCAGAGATTAATTGAAACACAGGCTGTAAAATTAGTGCTTTCATACTTAATTACATACAAAGTACCTCTGAACGCAAAGCGAAGTCACAGTTTCTATACTCAAAATCTTGTTATCAATTATTGTATCAGTTGTACCTAAAATATCGTTCGACATATAAATAGCCATTTCGCACGTGGTTATTTATCACGTTTTATTTTTTTAGCGTCTCCCTGTTCCCATTGAGCGTAAAGTTACATAGAGAAGTTACGTAGATTACATAAAGAAGTATAACACTGTCAAATATTGGCTTTTTGTTCTTTTTCCAAAACGATAAACATTATGATAAAAGAACATTGTCTCATTTTGTAGCATAAACACCTTTTAATTGACAATAGTCCCTATATTAAATATTACTGCTCTTTGTGAATGTTTGCACGTTCATGTCCCCCGTTCATACAGTTTGCAATATATAGTTACTGCATAATACAAGTATATCATAAGAGTTGTTAAAGATTTCTTAAATATAAAAGCTAAGTACTATTAGAAGAGTATATACATTTAACCCCCAAGATGATGGGAACTTTGTTATGGCCGTGGTCCAAACTCTTTGTGCACGATCCATCCTTGTTTCAAGGAGCGAACAAAAAGAGAAAACCAAAGAAAAATGTGTCCGCTTGAGCATGTTCTTCCCTATATTTTCGTATAACCCATAACTTTGCGACAATTGTTGAAGAGGAAGTCTTTAATAAACACCCCTAAAAGACTAAACTTTGATCTAAAATGTATTTTAAACATTACATTATTTACATGCCACTTTAAAGTTGTTGTCGCCAATTAAAAAGGAAAATTCGATAAGCGTAATATGTGTGATATTTTTTAACAATTCGCAATTACTAATATACTTTTATTTTTTAAATTTGCACCGTTGTCACACAAAATGTCAACCAATTACTGTGCGACAATGATTGAAGCGGAAGTCGAAAAAAATCCCCCATAACTAGACTTTTAGCAAATATGTGTATAAAGCATTGAATTATTGACATATCAGTTTAGAGTTATTAAATGTCCTATTCTTTATATTGAGTTAGTAATGAAAAGAAACTGAAAATTATAGTTAAATCTGAAATTTGTCACGAAGACACATAATTTTGTCAAAAACAAATATGTATATACTTTCACCGGCATTTTATAATCATAATAGTTATTGAACGTGGATTGAAAAGCAAATAACATGTCAATAAAACTTAATAAAATACAACAAGAATAATAAGCGATTATGTTTTTGTTTTCAAAAGAATATATATGTATATGCGCAGTATAATATTCGTATGAGCTGAAACCGTTTGTTGATTTTCGAATCAGTGTTTGGTTTTCTTAATGGTAAACTTTCCTATAAACCAACATTTTTTTCTGACATGCGTCTACCAGAGGTTAATTGAAATATAGGTCGAAGAATTTACCATTTTTATACTTAATTAAATACAAAGTACCTCTGAACGCAAAGCAAAGTCAGAGTTTCTAAAGGGCAAAAACTTATTTCAGTTGCACCTAAACTATCATTCATTCGTATAAGTATGCATTTCGCACGTGGAGTTTGTAATTAATCTAGTTTTATCTTTTATTTTTTAGCGTCTGACAGTTCCCATTGAGCATAAAGTAAGATTAGATAAAGAAATTTAACAATGTTAATTATTTGTTTGTTGTTGTTTTTCCAAATCACATTGTCTCATTTCGTAGCTTAACAACCTTTTAAGTGACAATAGTCCCTTTATTAAAAAATACTGCTCGTTGTTAATGTTTGCACGTTCATGTCATAGTTCATCCAGGTTGCAATATATAGGGTACTGCGCAAAACAAATATATCATACGAATTGTTTAAGACTTCTTAAATGTAAAAACTATGTAATATTAGAAAAGTTTATATATCTTACCCGGATTCGAGATGATGGGAACTTCTTTATGGTCGTGACCCAAATTCGTTATGCACGATCCATCCTTGTTTTAAGATGTAAACAAAAAGAGAAAACCAAAGAGAAATATGTCCGCTTGAGCATGTTCTTCCCTAGTTTTTATGTAATATATTGTAGCATTTTATTGATTTCTAATAACAATACATTGCTGCATATTCCATGACTCTTAAAATTTATCAATTCTTTGTAAATCTATTCATAATCTGTATTTCAAATTTAAAGATATGAATTGTAGTACTGTTATTCAGTACTGTTAAACTTTTGTTATCTTGTTTCTTTGTTGGTTTTCCTTCTGAACATTTTTGAAAGCTAGCAGGGATCAAAATAAAGATAACGTGTGCTTCTTTCCTTCTTTCCCCTCATATGTATAGATAGTAAATATGATTATCAAGTTAACAAGACTCTTGCGTTTACAAGACTTTAACACTATCATAACACAAATAAATGTATAATGGCTCATGGTCTAGCTGGGGCAAGACTTAATTCTGTGGCTTTAGTCAAAGACGTTAATTTCCAACGCATCGGAAGAGTTAACAAGATACAAGCAGAGCTTGCTGGTATTAATTCTTACGTGCCATTGACACATATAAATGCAATTATAAATTTGAAGGACTTCCGTTTTGAATAAAACATATTTACATTCAATAATATTTTGTTATGATCAGTTGGAAACAACCTTTTTTATCATGTGACAGCCAATTGCGTATGTACTGAGTATATAAGTATAAATTGGCTGCTTAAATAATCAATAAAATAGGAGATCAACATTTTCGTGCTGCCATTTCATTTAAAATTAAAAAAAAATATAGTATGGAGTAGATACTAATCAAAGGTATTTAATTTCACTAGAGAGTAAAATTTTGAAAAATATTTTTTTTAAAGTGATTACTTTTTTTCAAAATAAAATATATTTTATTTGCTGTCTTGATATTTTGTATAATAAACACTGCTAATTGTAGAATGTATTAGTCATATCATTAATATTGCCGTTTTTTATATGATAAACATTGTATATGTATTATATTAAATATGTGTCGCCGTTTGTGTTGATGACACATTCATGATGAATGATAAAACACATACTTGGCAATTTCTTATCGATCAGATTTTACATTTATGCGAAATAAAGATATGTGATAAGATAAAAACAAAATTTTGTTATTGAGTTCAGTTTTAGGAAGACATTACTCATTTGATAGAAAAATCTATAAAATCTTTTCAAAATGTAAACTTATTTGTTCTATCAATTCAGAGGTGATTTTATTTTGATATTTTCGTAGTAAATACATATACTCCTACTCATTTGGCAAACTATTCCTACTAATTTTGGTTTTATTTATTAATTAATATAGTTTTGGGAATTTATTTTAGTTGTAACCACATAGATATTTAAACAGAAATAAGTACTTATAAATGTTTGAAATGAAATACGCTATATTTTCTGTAACGTTTGTCCGGTAAATGGCGTAGAAGATGAGACCCTTTTTTTCTAATGAAATACGCTGTATTTTCATGTTGCTATGCATATGTTTGTAGTTAAAGTAAAAGCAGTCAAAAAATAAATTCGTATCTTTTTAAACAGTTAAAATGTGCAAGACAAGTTTAATGCTATTGTTTCTGCTGTCGATAGTCCATACAACAACAGGTAACTAGTTATTATTTATTGTCAATCAAGTAAAAATGTCCATGTAAATTATCATTTTGTTTATGTTTCATTATTGTTATTTGTTTATGATCTAATTTGGTTGACCTTTCTGCCTGTGGCTGGCCTGACATGGAGTAAGAAATGTTTTGAAATGGTTTAATAATTTTTCAACGAAACATTGAAAGGCTATTTCGAATATTATTCAAAGTTCTCTTTATTTTTCATTCTTGTTTTTTTTTTTGAGAACATAACTGAACATTTTATAGTGTAAAACATCTAAAACCATCAAAGGCGCATGCATTCGAAAGCTACAAGTATCAATCACCTTACGATATACTGTAACATTGCCCAAAATATTTCGACCAAGTGGTCAAAGATAATGTTTTAAGAAAATAATGTGTATCTCTACTATTTCAAATGCCAGGTATCATGCGAATCGTTTACTTTAAGCTGATAAATTCATTGACCTGCCGATTATTGCAAATACTCATGGGTGCTTCTGTTACAATTTACTTGAAGACATCTTAAAGTAAATTATCCCTTGTACCAATAACCAGGTGCCGATTATTTGGACATTACTGAAGTAAGACTTGTAGATGGCTATGGTAAATTTAGCGGACGTGTTGAGATCAAGGTTGACGGTGTTTGGGGAACAATCTGTGATAACGCTTTTGACATGAACGACGCCAAAGTCATTTGCAAATCACTGAATCTGACGTATGTTAATCATATTAAATTGTGTAATTATCTCTTCAACACGTTTCCTTTCTTTGTTAAACAAACATACGGAATATTTTTCTTTCGATCGTAATAGAAATAAATGAATTCATCCTTAGATGGGAACTGGCAACTAAAATGTCTAAAACCTGTGTAGCCTCCTTATGTAACTCATCACCTATTTTTGTTCTATTTGGTATTTACATCATACGTTTAAATTATTCAGTACACTATTCCTTAGCTTTTCTTGATTAAAAATTTTGAAAATTTGCATGAATACAAATACAATATCTTCTTGTATCATATCTTATTTTTTAACCTTCTTATGTAAACTTATTATATTTTTTGTTTCCTGTCAAATGTCTCAATTTTATTTTGCATTTGTATTCTAAACATACCTGAACATTTCCTTTTATGTCATGATAGGTTTGTTATTGGAACACATTTTTAAATGTTAGATAAAACTTAATACCAAAGGATATTTATATGCTAAAATATTAATTTCCATTTCAGAGCAACATCATTCTTTACGGGAGCACACTATGGGCTAGGTAAAGGTCCAGTATTTGCTCAAAGGTTTCATTGCTATGGACATGAAAGTCACCTGAGAGGTTGTGGCTTCGACCCAAATACTTTTTGTTCTCATTCACGGGATATTGGGGTAATCTGCACAGGTACAGATTCGTTCTCAGAAAACGTTAATTATCTTTAATAGGTGTGAACTTTTAAAATCCGAGTCCAAAACTTTAGAAAATCAAATATTATCTGTTTCGGCCACCAAGTTCATAAATATCAAAAGCAATTAAACGCCTTCTTTTTAAATTTCGTATTCTTAAAAAACACCTATAAACGATTACTGATCATTACAATATCATAATACTTAGAAACAATATGCAAAATAAAATTTATTTCATAACATTTAGTTAATCAACACTTACCATTTTTAATTCAAGTGGAAAGTTCGTGAAACACATAAGTCAATTGGTTTGTGAGAACACTATGAATGATCATTTCATTTCATTGACAGAATGTGGAGAAATCGACATCAAAAATGGAATCATTGAGTCAATATCATCAAATGGTTCGGTTCTTACAACCTCTTGTGTAACTGACTACCAGACAAACATGCACACAAGTATATGCCAAACTAATGGAACATGGTCAAACGACATTACGTGTGCAACAATTGGTAAGTATCAATTATTTTCTGGATTGATACGTTAACGCTAATGTGCTTGACTTTGCCGTGCATTAAGTGGAAAGATACAGATACACATTTATAAATTTTTATTTTCTTTTATATTGTGTGCATACTAAGGTCAAATGTTAGCTTAATTAAGATTTTGTCATTGCCACTTCCTCCGGCTTTTGCTTGTAATAAAACATCTAGCACAAAAGATTTATGTTTAAATGCGTAGATAGACATATAGGAGATTGAAAAAACATAATAGCACTGATTTATTAGAAAATTGTAACAAAACACATTAAATCAAAACAATTGAGAGGAGGATGGTGGTGTTGTCACCGATTTCGTTTTCAATTAATTTGCCCCTGAATTTGTGGTGTTAAACCCAATATATAGATACATACGTACCGGCTAATTAAAGAAAGCGTACGTTACCAATTATGCAAGATCATTCATTTCACTAAAATAAATATTATCAAACCGAATCACTCCAACGAAGTCAGATACTTTATTTGATAGTTCTTTAATTATACATTAATATATGCTCATTTCAATCAGTGTGATTAGGTAAGAAAAGTCCTTTTGATATTTGTTAATATTATCAAACCACATTTCTCAAGTAATGCATATGATATGCTCATAGTTACACGCTTAACCCATAGATAACATGAATTTCTACAGGGTATCCACTGAACATTACTGACATACGGCTTGTCAACGGTATAGGTCTAACTGATGGTATCGTTGAGCTCAAGGTGAATGGTACTTGGGGACAGATTTGTCGTAACAACTTCAATAGTATCGATGCAAAAGTGATATGCAAAATGCTTGGATTTAAGTAATATTTACTAAGACTATACTATACTTGTGTAAGATCAGTTTGAATTTGTAATTTGTAAGACGAAATTATTTGGTATGATTAGACCCAGATAAGTGTGTTGCATGATTTTAAGTGTTTATTTGAAACCTGTCTGAGATATTTTTATCAGTTCAGTGGGAAGTAACTTGGAGTAATCAACACCGTTCATGAACATGGTTTAATAAAATCTTATTGTTACAAATATTATTAAATTAAAATAGAATAGCTATAATAAATGACAATTTTTACATTACACTGTCTTATTACACATTGTTTAAAACACAATATACCTTGATTTAGTAACATTATGTCAAAATATGTCATTCATGAGGCTTTTTATCATAACTATACTGTACACGTTTTTAAAAAAAAAATAATTTCAGCTACTGGCTTTACGATTCTTCGTCCAAAATCACTTCAAATCCTTATCATTTAGACAAACTTGAATGTATAGGAACGGAGGATCACATAAACGAATGTTTATACGATGTTCGCCAGACGTGTTCGAGTAGCTATCCAACTGTCGTTGAGTGTAGTAAGTTCGATTTAATATTTTTGCTTGCATGTCTAATAGTATTTTGCATAGCGATCTATTAATATACAATGTTAAAACGATATTCAAATGCAGTTGAATTATCTGAAAAAATAACTCAATCTGACAGTGTTGCAAAAGAATATCACGTTTTATTATAAACTTATCAATGAAATATTGAAATGTGTTGATGAAATAAAAATACATATTTTCATTTTCCGTATCTTCATTGTACATTTTTTTTCTCACTTCACTTCCGTATTTTCACTGGTGTCTTGCCGGACTACTTTATCCTAAAATTCAGTCAATATACATAATAAAGAGAAAAAGTATTTCGTATCTTATGGTAAAAATGTAGATAATAAACAAACAAGAAAGTTCTTTTTTCTTTTGTCACTAATTACTTAATTTTTTCATATTTCTACATTTCACTTTAAGCTACCGCCACTCGTGAAATATAACCAGCATTAATAATTTAATAATACTTCCAGATACCTTGATGATATTTTTAATTTAGATAATCCTTATTTTGATCAAATGGTGTCTGACATTTATCCGCATGAACTACAACTTAATAAAACGAACTCTTGAAATTTTAGTACATCATTTTTGGATCTGCATATTACTATCAACAACAATTCTATTCACACGAAAATCTATGATAAAAGAGATGACTTTGACTTTTGTATAGTTAATTATCCACATTTAGATGGAGACGTACCCCATGCAACATCTTACGGGGTTTATGTTTCTCAGTTAATTAGATTCGCTAGAGCTTGTAGCAACGTAGAGGATTTCAACGACCGGAATATTTTTATTACCAGCAAGCTTCTAAAACAGGGCTACCGCTATCATAATTTACGGAAATATTTTACTAAATTTTACAATCGTAACTTTGATTTAATTTCTAAATTCAATAGTGATTTAAAAACTCTTCTGCGACAAGGGATTAGCCAGCCTGGTTTTTATGGCGATGTGATTTACAAACTTCGTAAGATTATGGGTCATGGTAATTTTTCTGCTGTTTTTACTAAAATCATTAAACGTTTTATTAAAAGAGGTTATGACCCCACTATTTTAAGACATACTGCATGTTTAGTGTTCAACCCTTTTACAGTTGGACACTACGCTTTCCTCTTTTGATTGCATCTGACGGACCAAGTTGGGGACTCTATGATGGATAGTTCGTAAAGCCCTTTGGGACTGAATTGTCTTAATGTTCGTCTTCTGCCTTGCTTCGTCGGTAGGGGTGTGGATCGTTGGATAAGTGACGATCCGATCCGAACCACGATTCAGCACTTACGATTCACAAATCGAACCACAAATCTTTTATTATCAAGACACCCATAAAAACATATAAAATAGTCATAAAAACATGTTTATTTAAAAAAAAAAACAGCAACAATACTAAACATTTAATGTTTAATTGATATTTGAATATCTATTGTTGATTAAATAATATTGGAACAATTCATTCATATGTTTGACTTAGAAACTGAGAGTTTTTGCGAAATTTTAGAGTTTCTGGCGAACGTGAAATTGCCGATGTTCGAGATCGATTTTCGGATAGAATCTAAATATCAAAGAAAACTAAAGCGTAAGTGTATTTTTGGTTTGTTGTCCTGGCATTTCGGCACAATATCTTAAATTCTTAAATATCTTATTGAACTTTTTAGTAAGAATGAAACTAAAGCAAAAATGTGCCTAGAAAATGCCGAAAATATTCGACAATCATTCAAAATTACACTCATTTGTAATTTGAGAAAACAGTCTGTAAACTTGCGGCGTAAATAGTCGATAATTTTATCCTTTTGTCGGTAAAATTTGCTAATTTCCAATCAACTGTTGATCTATCGCCTCGTGTTATATCTGGTAATTACATGTACAGCGCGTGTATACATTAGTCTGGTCACTATTCAGAAGCGTTATCGCTGATTGGCTAATCGCTTCAGGGGTCGATGTGCATAGGACCGCCTACCTATCTAGACTGACACGCACTGACGCATTTGTGTATTTGTGGTTGTAAACAATCGGTAATGTTTATGCGTCCCTAGGCAAAATTAAGCGTACGTGGAATCCTTGTCCAGCTGTAATAAACATGCGTACCGGTACACCGAAATAAGCGTGATAAAATATAAACTTTATTTATGTTTTTATTCTTTGGATGAGTATTTTTGTTTTGTTTTTTGAAACCAATTACATCATGGTACATGGTCTTTAACCAGCAAATTGTTTTTAGGTTGACTTCATATAATTTATACTCAAATCGTATTTTTCTCGATTTTAAGAGTGTGAGAAACAGTGAATGTATATAAAAAAAATTAGATCGCGATCCACGATCTCTGGGCTTACGAATATTCAAACTCGATTTTTCACTTTGATTCGTGATTATCCGAGTACTCGGATACTCGCCCCAGCCCTATTCGTCGGGCCCTTGTAGGTGATTTTCTTGTTGCTCTGTCTTCCTTTAGGACATTGAGTACTTTTGTTATGGTCATTGGGTTTACTTTTATATGTTTCTACATGATCATTTTAGTGTTTTACTTATTTAAACCTTTTGTAACCATGACAACTGTTAGAATTTCACTTGGCGGGGATTCATTTTTATTTACACTGTCTCGTTTATAGGAACATGGTGGGCTAAGAGCGAGGTTTGGTGCACCATTAACCGGTTTAAACTCCCCAGCAGTCATTATTATGCTGCTGACCGTTCCAAGGCGGCGCCCACTGTGTTCCTCAGATGTATGTCTATGTTGTTTCATACTGTTTTGGTGACACTTTTGCTTGTGTCCCTTGTTGTTTTCTCGTCTACGGTAAGTATCTTCCCCATTGCCTCTAGTTTTTATTTCTTTAATTACCCCCCCCCCCCCTTCCCCCGGTCTCCTGTCCCCTTCCCCTTTGTGGGCCTATTATTATTTTCTTTGAATTCCTAATCAGTTCCAAATTATTTATCATTTAATGATTAACCTGTCCGTGCTCTGTCTTTGCCCTGTCCTGTTTTTGTTCGGGGTCCGCCTGGGCTCCTTGCCGTTGGTTCTTGTTGCTGGGTCATATGGGGGTTGCGTTCATTGAACGCCGCCTTTCCTTGTTGATCTTGTTATCATATAAAAAATTGAATAAACTCTGTTTTTTTCTTAAATTGTAATCGTGTACTTATGTTGACTGATTTTTTTAAAACATCCTTAAACTTCTAGAGTATTAACTAACTACAGAGTATCAGACGGTCATTGGTTATAGATAATTTAACAATGCTGAGTACAAAAATAATTCTATTGCACTCATTCCGTAAATAAGTAAATTTACACAAGATTCAATTATTGCCTTTTGCTTTATGGCATGATTCATATCTTTGATGAAAATATAAACTTGAATGACGTAAATGTTTATAGTGTTCCCACGCTGTTGAACATCTTATTTTCTTTTCCCAAGTTTCATTAAAATAGTCCAACAAACAGAAAATCTGTTGTTTTTTTATTATAAATACTAGGCTTTTATCCTAACCATAAATAAGAAATTATCATTTTCTAATTGATGATAAAATGTATTCACTCAAACCATTAAAAGCCCCCTTGTGAATAATTCAAATAAGCATTTAACATTTGTTTCGAATGAATTTCAATATATTTTCAAAGTGTTTTGAAAATCTCTGATTATCGATGCTAGACACTATATACATGCATGAATATTTCAATTTGCGTAATGCCTCTTGCCTTTTCATATCTTTTTTTGTGGATAAGCATTACAAAACATCAAAACAAAATCCTGATAGAGTCCTGTATTTTCATAATGTTTGAAACTAGTTTTAAATCACCAAGATGTTAGCTTTACAGTTATTAAACTTATGTAAATGTAAAAGAAAAATCTGACAATCATGAAGCATGCTGTCTTGATGTATAAAGTTGATTAAGATAGTTGACCTATACATGGAGTGCTGTAGGTATAGAACATTTGATCTCTATTAATATAAAACTCACCTTTTTCTTTAATATCTCTCACTCTGTAAATTTATATATCCAATACCACTGCAAATTTTTAAAGCCTTTTGCGAGGTTTGCTTTCAGTACTTTCTTTCAAATCTACGATTACTATAAATTCCTTGCAGGTTTTGATGATATATCTGTAAGAGTTAAACATAAACATAACGTAAAAATGGTGAAAATAGTAAAGCAAATTGTATGTCATTTCATTATTTTTACACGTCAGGAACATGCAAAACAGGTTAAGGTGTATATTGTGTTGATCTTTATAATAACAATGGGTTTACAGTAAATAATGTGCATTTTCTGTTCAGACCAAAGTAAAAAGTGTTGTTTTTTTTTGTCAGATAAAGTGTAATATCATTGTCCTTGAAGTATTGAGTGCCATAATTTGAGAAATCATGAAAGAATAATTTTAACAATGATGGGCGAGATTATGTGGTCTATAATTTGCTGGTTCATTCTTTAGACTTACCACCCATATTCTGTCTTGTCAAATTTAAATTAAATTTAAAAGACAAACTAATTATCACGAAGTTGAAAATTTCAAAAACAAAACAAATAAAATATAAATGATAATTTTATTATAAATAATAATAATTGAAAATAATTTTCATATCATTATGGTGTAATAATAAGATATGTTTAAAATGAAATAACTATTTTTTTTTATAATTCAGTTTCACGATATAAATCAAAACGTTTGTTTTTATCGAGATAAAATTGTCTAAATATTTCAAAATATGTACGGTAAAATGTCAGTATCTATGTTTTAGAAACTCTATACCAGGAACACATAAATATTATAATCTCAAAATCATAATAGTCGAACTTAATGAAACGGCAATGAAAACATATGCTCTTTTTACTTTTTAGAATATCCATATAATATAACAGATGTTAGGCTTGTCGGGGGAACAGGTCCATATGACGGTCGTGTTGAAGTCAAGATAAACGATGGCTGGGGAACTGTTTGCAGTAGATACATCGGATCATATGACGCTGACACTTTATGTAAATCAATGGATTTAAAGTAAGCATCATACTGAAGCTGAAAGTCCTATCTGTCATGTCATGTCGTGAATTAACATCGGAATATTAATATTATGTATTAATAATGCTATAAAAACACTCATTTAGCTAAAATATATCCATTCAATAGAAAGATTCATGTCATTAAATTATAAAAGCTTAATCAGATGTCTTAATAATAATAATAATAATAATGATAATAATAATAATAATAAAATGTCTTAATAATCATAATAATACTGTTTGGCAACTTAAGTTATTATCCTTGACTTAGTAAAAGTTTGCAACTTGTGTCAAGTATTTGACCGTAAGTCATGAAACTTTACAGAAATATTGGTTGGCATATGCACATGGGGGTTTGATTGTGAATTTATTAAGTATTGGAAGAGTAATTGTCCTTGACTTAAAAAAAACCCGCTCCATTATGTTGTGGTGTGTGTTCCTTGAGTGCTAGAGTTAGAATCAACTAACTTAACAGAATAATGATCGTTGTGCACCTGGTACTTTGCATGTGGATGTTTTAAGTTTTCAGTTATTGCCCTTGATTTGACTTAGTATAAATTTTCAACTTGTTCATGCATAGCTCAAAAAGTATTTGCCCTGTAGGCCTTAAAGTTTACAAGAATGTTGGTCAGCTTATGTTCTTATGCACCTTGGGATTGTAAGAGGATTTATTCAGTATTTGTAAAGTTCTTGCCCTTGACTTAGTAAATTATTTTTAGTTTTTAACTTGTGTCACTTTAGCGCAAAAAATATTTGAGTTTTCATGAGATAGACAAAATTGTGGAGTGTCCGGGTACCCTTGTCCTATGGACACATTTCTAGTTAAATTCTTATATTTGCATTTGATTTTAAAGCTTGGAATTTATTAAATTGCAGATTAACTAGCTACTTTTCCTATTCTTCTGTTTACGGACAAGGAACGGGAGCTATATATATAGGTGATATGGGGTGCTCCGCTACAAAAACTCATGTAAATCAGTGTAGTTTTGTGCCTCCAAGACGACGCTATTGCTCTCACAGTCGTGATATGTCGTTAGTGTGTACACGTAAGCATTATATTTCCCTTTCTTATCTTTTTTGTATGAATATAACTGATAGATAATTTGCTATTTGCAAACATAATCAGACCATTTGACTTCATTTTATCATTTTAAAACCAATACATATTACATGGCTTGCTGAGGTTCTTAATAATGATGATGATGAATGTGTTGCTATCTCAAGCAAGGTACGGTTTTTCTTAAATAAATCTTTCTCATTCAAATTAAAATACTCTGGAATTGTTTCTGGTATCATTTGTTTTGATTGACGTATATAAATTTTGTCTTGAACCAGTCTTCAAACTATAAGTGTTGTTATAATTTTTTATCATTCGTGATTAAATTAAATTTCAATATATCAAATGTTGGGGATTGAATACCGCTTCCAGGAATTTTTGAATAATTTTTAAATCGTTGCTCGAGAGGATGAAAGATGAATTGACGCATTCATACCAAATCTGCAATTCTTACATTTTACTTTAGTTGTCATGACTATCAAGGGATCACATTTTCTCTAGATTTTCATATACATAAAAACAAACGCAAATTTACATTCATTGAAACTTTAATAACATTATTTTATTGACAGCTTGTGGTAAACCGACAATACAATATGGATCTTTTTCTTCTTTCAATGGTACTGTACTGACTGCAAAGTGCGACGTTGGATATCAACCAGAAACAATAACATTTGATTGTCATGAAAATGGGACTTGGTTGCAAACTGACAAATGCTCATCAAAATACTGTACGTTACTTTTTTTACCCAACTTGTAATATCCTTATGTCAATACATTAACATGATTTTGTCTCTCTCCATACGTTTAAAAATGGTAATGGTCTCTGTTGAAAGGTCAGGTACACATTTGCAATCAGCATTTTAAAGCTGTTGAGTTTAATACATTTAAACACATATTTAAGAAATAATTTATCCCAAACAGTGATTTTATCGCTCAATAAAATCAATGTTTGAAGATTCAATGCGAGGACTTGTATCACGTGGGCTGCGCCCATAATGATTCGCATTCGAACGACTGATTTGTTTCCGTTCTTATATTCAGCGCTCACATTCTATAATAATTAAATCAATGTTTGGAGTTTCAATGCGAAGAATTGTATCACGAGGGCGCAGCCCACGTGATATAATGATTCGCATTCGAACGACAAGCAATTATTTTATCAAGCGATAAAATCACCCATTGGGATATATTATTTCGATTCTAACACGACGTAAACAAATAAATGCTGCTGTACCTGTTATTAAGCTAAATTGCGCCTGATTTCTTTCCGTTCTTATTTTTAGCGCTCACATTCATTAAGTCACATGATTAAATATAGAACGTCGACAGTGATTTTATTGCAAAAAAACACGCACTTTCGATTCTTCTATGTTCAAAAGGGAAAAATGCGGGTCGTGTTAAAATGATATATTTTTATCATTTATAATATATTTATGAATTTATATATACAATGATAATAGTCTTTATTATATGATCTAAATATAGCTGCAATCTAATTGGTCCAAACAGTAGTCAACAGAACTTTTTATAAGATCATATTCACTGGGTGTTGTATCATATTCACTGGCTGAATTGGATTTTCCCAGTTTAAAAATAGAATGAGACTCACATTCAGTGACCATACACCGTATACTGTTAATTACGCGTGCTAATAAACAAATAATTGTTGCGTTTTGTTCTTTATGGCATATTTCTCAACAAAAATATCATTATCGCCTCGGTCAATATGTCATCTGCCGGTGAATATCACATCATATTTAATGGCTCACTAGTCAATAATTGTATAATATTCAATGGCTCACAAGTCAATAATTGTATAATATGTTAAACATTTATAATATAATAAAAATATATGAATCAATATATTCATTAAATATTATCAAATAAAAATATATTAAATATTATTTTAACAACGTTATTTCCTTTCTATGGTGAGTTTAGTTAATAATGTGGTACCTCATATATGATATACCATTAAAAACGACCCTTTAGTTAATTTTATGTGAACAAGTTTAATGTTGATGCTGCACATCAAAGACGCCGCCAAATGATTTGAACAGTGACAGGTAATGTAATTGACAACTGTTCTCTGTTACAGTTGAATATCCGAACATTTAATCAAGTTTCTTAAAGGTCTTGGTATGTGCTCGTTGTTTAATAATTATTAAGTTGCATATTTTTGTGAAAAAGTAGAACCTAATGCATAAATTCACAAAGTAATGCCATGTCTGAAATTATGAAATGATTGTCTGCTGCGACAAAGATTGAAAGGTCTGGTGGAAGAAAAATAAATTGGATAACCATTAAAAATGAAATAATCGGTATACGAACTTAAAGGTCATAAAATCAAGCGTCCTAAAATATTGATATTGGGCCGAAATATTGGTGCGAATTGCGTAGTATTCGAATGATTTTGAGGACGAACTGTTCTGTTATTTTACAAAAATGTGATATCAAAAAAATAGGTATTAATGATATGTTAAATATAATCAATTCTTAGTTACGTATTGTTTACTTATTTATTAAAGATTAAACTATTTGATGAAACACAATATTGCATATCTGTTTGCAATCCACTTACCGCGGAATTTAGGTATACAACCACTAAATGTAATAAAAAAATCTAAGGAAAAGAGAACAATCGTCCCATAATCCTTCAAAACAACCTAATGCAAATATTTGTGATACATTTTAAACCAAACTTTCTTTTGCACTCAATTAATCTGTTTTATAACTTAACTGTTAATTATTTTCACGAATAATCTTACGTAACGACTGTTTTGCAAACAATATGTCCGTTGCACCATACAAATCTCCGTTGCGTATTTTAGTCATACCTCTTGTTGCCTGTCCGAATTTGGTCCCCCTCATTAGAATATAGACTGGCTCATTGAGTCGTTATATATTAGATAAATATAAAAAGATAAAAATAAAAAGAATATAATATTCAAACATGACACTATCTCTTCAGCTAAGCGCTAAATTTAATTCCTTAAAGCTCCGTGGCACGTTGTACATCAGGAAAGCTAATTGTATTAGAGAATATGAATACAATGTGATTTTGTTAAAACAAAATTAACTACACAAAAGTAAGACTAACATTTTCCCAATTGCTGAATAGACGAACGCATGCATATCTACTAGCCGCCTCGTGATCAAATAGTTTTATAATGTACAGCTACAAGCCTTACCTTTTATCATATTGGCATAATTATTAATTATATGTTTTAATTATAGCTTATCCGTTAGAAATAAGAGATTTGAAGCTTGTTAACAGCTATGGTCATCACGAAGGTCGTGTAGAGATACAGGTTGATGGTATTTGGGGAACCATATGTAGCAACAACTTTACCATAACAGAGGCTAACGTCATATGTCACATGCTCGGATTAGAGTATGTTTCTTATTATGTTGTATTTTTGATTATTTTGAATTAAATACAAATACAATTAAGCATAAAATAGAACAAAACATATTTGTTTCTATTGCAAGTTGACATTTTATTATATTTCGTGAACTTCAAAAATGGTATTTAAAACTTAAGGCTATGCGACATGTGAGAATACTGTTTTGAAGCTTACGATATAAATTTCATCTTACACAAAAAATATATATATATCCTATACGTATCATATAAATACAATACAATATGAATGTTTTATTGTAAAATAAAAAATAACGTAGAAAAACTTCATAAAGCATGTTGAGAGTTTAGTTCGGAAGTTTATTTTCGACTTAAAGCAGTAACAAATATTCACTTTTGTTTGGCTGTCGTACTGAGTTAAACACATATCACATGTTATAGAAGCAACAATATGCTGCCAATAAACTTAGCTGCTTTGCGTACTGTAATACCAATATACATGTATTTAATGAGTTATTATAATGTAAATTCAAAATGACCTTTTGTTAAACTCAACTTATGTTGACTTATTTAACCATATGCGCAGTGTTTGTAAAAGAAACATTAAATAATATATTGCTAAATATGCGTTTAAAAATCAAACTAATGATTCAGAATATAATAATCTACTGTTCTGATGGAAATTAAACTATGTTGATTCTTTATTAACAGAGCAAGTCATATTAACACAGATACTTGGGGCGACGGCCCGGTTTTTATTACAAATCTTCAATGCAATGGAAATGAATCACAAATCAACAACTGTTCTTACAATGTAGATAATAATTGCTTGTACACACAAAGTGCAGGAGTCCACTGTACAGGTCATTATTTTGTTTTTATTTGTTTCCCTTTTCTCTGGTGTATGATGTTGTTAAAATTCAATAATCAGTCTTTGACGAATAGTACTTTTGGAAAAAAACTAAAATCTCATTGCACATATAGCAATAACATATATAATACCAGCTAATATTTCTATTCAGTCTTTGGATATGTAGCCTGCTTTTTAAACTGGGGGGGGGGGGGGGCGAATACGGCGCATTTTATAGAAATGGCACGAACATGTCATATTAAGGTTCCATAATAACCGCCGTTTGAAGACATAGTAGGCACGTACTACTCCGCCCATGAACAAGCTCAATTTAACCAAGCATGAGCCATTAATAAATTTACCATTTCGAACGTTCTTTCATGTTTTCCTATTTCAATATCAATTTGATGTATGGTTTAGGCCGCCTTTCTTTTTACTGGTATGATACAGAATTAAATTCAGTATTTTGGATTCAATTCTGTTATTATACAGGGTTGCTGAATGTTGCTTGTCAAAGATACTGTACTTTATATACAAGTTGTTTGCAGACAAGTAGTTCAAAATGTCAAATGCATGATATAATTACATTAAAAATGACAGACATTTTTTCAAAAGAACTTATTGAGCTCAATCAAAAACCATTATGTTACATATAAATAAACAGGGTCTTTTAAGCGAATATTTGCTCTCTCAGATATGTTATATCATTTTACAGGATACCAACTGAATGTAACTGGATGGCGACTAGCCGGTACAAATGGGCCATATCATGGTAGAGTTGAATTAGAAGTAAATGGCACATGGGGAACGATCTGTTCATCATGGTTCTACAATGATAATTTAGGAACTGTAATATGCAATATGTTTGGATTACGGTAATCATTTAAGCTTATATCAGGCTTCTTGTAACTTCTCAGGAGAAAAAATGATTTAACACCAAAGTACTGAAAGATTGTTTCAATGATTTTTTTATTATCAGAGAAAAAATATAAAAATAATTTTCTTTCTGATTGTTACCTTGCAGATATAATACTTATTACTTTGATGCATATTATGGACAAGGAGAAGGACCAATTTACATAGACAGACTATACTGTAGTAGCAGCTACTATACAGATATAAATAGATGCAAATATGTTGCAAACAACTACTACGGTACATGTTCGCATGAAAGGGATTTATCAGTGAAGTGCTTTGGTAATTTATTTGCATGTATTCAATTAAGGTTTACATGTGTATACACTTATGTAAATTTTAGACATTTCTTGTCAATGAATGAATCACTAGCTAATAATCATAGAAAAATATTTTGTTTTCTTTAAAGTTATTTAATAGAGACAGCTATACACTGATTTTGTAGTCATGGATTTTGCCTAAAATGAATCAATTACAGCGGGTAACACATAAAGTTTAAATAACCACCTTTTGAAAATTAGTCTATGTTTTTTTGTAATTTTGATCAACATATCTAAATTGTTATCAAAATAATTCTATCATCAGGTCCGTTTCTGAATATAACGGATGTGCGATTAACAAATGGAACAGGACCTAACGATGGTAGGGCAGAAATCAAAGTAAACGACACATGGGGAACTGTTTGCGATTCCAATTTTGCCTTAAGAGATGCAGAGGTGTTTTGTAACATGCTTAGCCTTAAGTAAGTTGCTTAAGACATATTTTAAAGATAATCAAATGGCAAATTGTGTTTATTTTGGATGAAATATATTGTAAAACGTCATTTGTAACACGATATTATTTGTACACACATGAGGGATTTTAGTCAAAATTTCTTGTGGCTGATAATAGGGAGATGACTTTAACCAAAAAGTAAATGGAAAGACTAGTCAGTTTTGAAAATGATTCCTTAATCGATATGATTAGATATCTTTTATTGAACTTGTAAATGTATGCCCTATACAAGTGATACCAATATACCGTATTTCAAATATTAAGAGGATATGTTTTCGTTTGAGTGAAATATGGAATATATTTTCACGAAACATGATAAAATGCCACACATTTTCACGAGCCGTCCCGCAATATACCATATGTCACGAAAAATGAAAATAACTTTTTTATTTAATTTCATTATCAAAGAAAAATGATAACAAACCCCATTGCTTGCTACGCATCAGCAACTGTACAGCGCGCAGTAATATATTATTGCGTCTTGTTTTGCACGCGGCGTTTCATTGCCACGTCACGTAAACAACTATTTAAACGTCTGTACAGCGTTAATAAATGAATTAAAAATATTAGTGTTCGAATTTATTTTCTTAGTTAGACCATTTTCTTTTATTCTAGATTGTTTACAAAACAAAATTGAACAAAAGGTTGTTTTGTATTTCTCAGATCTTTCAAACAAAATGGCGAAATAAATCCCTTAAAATAAATTTGAGTTCCGACTCCGCCCACTTTCATATTCATATTTCATATTTATTTTAAAAAATTAGAAATATATTTGACTGATATAGCACCAGGGTTCATGGGTAAAATTAAGTAAATTTGAGTTATTAAATCTATAGTTATTCAAAAACGTTTTAGGACTTCAAATATAGTGTTTTTATAGTTAAGAAACATATATATAATAATTGTCATTTATAAATACTTTTGTTTTGCCGATGTACTCGAAAAATAACTGTGAAAGCTGTAGTAAATTAAGGCAGCAAGAATAAAGTTTAAGTATATTTTAATCTTTAAAAATACTATTTGTATATATATTTTTTAAAAACTACTAGAGCGGTTAGGTTTTTCACCGGGGCATTATATGGAGAAGGAAGTGGGCCGGTTTATATTGATCAACTTATCTGTGACAGTGGTGATGTTGAACTAAGTGACTGCCAATATTTGTTTCTTAATGAATGCAGTCATAGCAGAGATGTTTCTATTGTATGTAATGGTAGGTCATTTTATTGTTTTTTGTTTCTTAATAAGTCTGGTCCTTTATTGTAACGGAAAATCTTTTCATCGTTTCTGTTGCTTGAAAACACATCTGCGGATGTTTCTCAATTAAATACTTTACCATTTCATGTTAAAATGTTGAATTCTGCTTAAGACACGGTGCTTGGGCGTGATCGGTAGTTTGTACTTTACAGTACCGTCTATGAACAGGCTCAAACAAACTGAGCCTGCAGCATTTCAATTTTGCCGTTTTCTACTAACATTAGGAATTTTTTTCTCTATTCTCAATTTGATTAAGAACATCTACAAACTGCTTCTTTTGTGTAATATGATTATCTGATTTAAAAACGCTGTCTGTATTTTAGATAGTGCTAAATATGTGTATAAGATAATTTGTAAATTCATCTAAGGGAATTCAAAGTCAAGAAAATTCTTAGTTGGTAAAAATAGATCTTTCAATCAACAGCTTTGATGAACCTTAAGCTTTTATAATTCTTTTGGACTTTTCCAAACAATGCAGATAGTGAGTATTGAAAATTCTTTCTGATTAGGTCTGTAAATGAGAGGTGCTAAATAAGCTATATGACTATATAAACTACTGAATGACGGTAATTATATTATAAACTCATTTTATTATTTTTAGTAAATGAAGAGCCAGGGAACAAGTATATAACCTTTTAACATTTAAAATATATATTTTATTCATTTAAGAGTGCGGGGACCAGACAACTCTCATTGGGATGCTGGATATTACATACAATGGTTCAACTTTGTATTGCTGACTGCTCCTACTATTAAAACATATTTAGGCCCATATTAAAGATGACTTGTGACAATAATACACAGACATGGCAAACAGAAGGAGAATGTCAAGAATACGGTATATACAAAATCAATGCACTTATTGAAAATGATTAATAATAAAATGCTTTTAAAATCAATTGCAAACAATCATGATGTATTGATTAAATGAGAGATAAAGTAAGATAAAACAAAACCATTGGTTGTTATTATGACAAGTAACATTTCTTGTTACAACATAATTGTCAGAAAGTAAGAAATGAATGAATGAATGTAACCGAGTCTGGAGCAAAATAGTAATATTATTTTTTTTAATTTAATAAATGTATATTTCAAAGAAATAACTGCATGAAGGGTTACTTTTTTTTCAGGATATCCATTAAGATATCACCTGAAAATAAAACTGTCAGGAGGGGAACTCAACGTCAAAAGGGTAAGGGTGGAAATAAAAATCTTTTTGACACTTGGGGAACCAGTATGTGACCATGGTTTCGGTAAAAATTGAAGCCGACACAATAATGTGCAATGATTGGTTTCCCGTAAAAGAAACAAAATTATCTATTTCTTTTATTGAATATCAAAAACATAAAGTTGGAGTATCAATAAAGGATTCAGCCAATGCTTGAATCATTGCCCTCGGAGAATGATAAAATTGTATATTTGTTTAAATGTCTCTTTAGGGAAATTCTTAAATACAGATGTACTTGTAAAATTCTCTTTAAAGATAAATACAAATCATGTACTCATAAACTATATGTTTATTAATTTCTAATAACAAAATTTAAACTTGTACAACACTAAATAGGCGGTAAAAGCTTGAAAGTCAAACGAAATTTAATTTTATCATTTATTTGGACACCTCTAAATCAAAAATGTAGCCCCATCAACATACGCAAAATATTTGTTTTCCAGTTCCTGCGGTCTCATTTTCTCCACGGCGCCTACCTTTGGCCGAAGGTTCTGGTCCAATATTGGTTTGATGACCCTTACAATGTAAGATTTAATGCTACACAATCAACAAATTGTAGGGGTTACGACAAACCTATGATAATTGCTAATCACTTCAAATGAAACGTTTCTGTTGTTTGTACTGGTAAGAGCAATTAATTAAAAAAAACACTGTTAGTTATTTCAAACTTTGCTTTGCTAAACGAAAAAAAAAATTTTTACTAAGAGGGCTATTTGCCTCAATTTTACATTGTTTAAGTCTTAAATTTATTTCCGTTTTCGTGATTTGTAATACATACAAATGTTTTAAATTAATTCATTTTACATGTAAACATTTCTATGTATTACAATGAGGTATCATAACATAACTTTATAGGAATGTGAATTTAATAATGGCATACTTGAATTGATTTAGAATGATTTAATTACTAATTTTAAAGAATTTTT